GGGCACCCCCCCCTTTTGAAAAAACATCTCAAAAAAAAAAAAAAAAAAAAAGAGAGAGAGAGAGAGAAAAGAGTAAACTATTGTATCTGAAAGTCTGGGTACGGTCTCTCACGCAGAATGAACCCTTAGCCTAGAGGGAATCGTGCCAAGTTCCATGTCTTCATCCTGCATCACAGCGGGTATTTTGGCAAGTGAGCCTTGGGAAATGGAGATGCCTGCACTTCCGGTCCTTTTATAATCTCTTCCTCACCAACACCCTTTCCTGCCTCACCTGCAGAATTACCCCCAGGGACCTCCACCCTGTTTCTGCTGGGCGGAAGGGAGCGGTGGGTGGAGGGGAGTGGAGAGAACGTCTCCAGGTCGCAGCCCTGGCTCCTTAGGGGAGAGCAGGCACGAATGAAGGGCAGGTCCACGCCAGCAGAGGGCGCACACTGGAGGCCACATCCATGGTCCTCGGGAAGGAGAACAGGCTCTCCCGGCCCAGCAGGGTGTGCGGGTGGACAGCGGGACAGCCAAGAGAAGCTCACATCTTTATCAGCTGCCAAACCTTCTGACCCCGGTTTCTGCCTAAATGACCCCGAAGGAGCCAGGGTGCCCACACCCCTGATCCACAGGTCATATTTTAAAGGAGTGGATCCCTACGGTCCCTCAGGACCTTGGCCCCAGTGGCTTCAAGGTTTCCAACTCAGGGAAGCTATTAAAATTAAGTCAGACTAAGAGCATTTACGGATCCATGCCTGCGGATAGGTGTGCACGTGCACCAGCACACACACCCCTTTCCTAAGGGTCTGCCCGCCGGGCACACGCCTCAGCCTGCCCAGCATCCGGCTGGGTATAAGCCCGTGTCCTGACTCACAGAGTTCCCTGACAGCAGGAGAGAGGGTGTAGCAACCGTTCGCAAAAACTTTCTGCTGCCCCACTGTTCTCTAGGAAACTACTTCCCCAGCCAAACCCCCGAGGAGCTTTGTTTTCTTTTCCTGAGTTATTTGCTTTGAGATGCCTATTTATCCTGAAGGGTTTCATCATTTAATAGAGATTAGAACACGAACACCCTTCAAGCAACAACTAGTAGCAGCTGCCATCGGCTGGTGCCCGCTTTGTGCCTGGCTGGGTCCCGAGAGGGCTCAGCATGAACTCACTGAGCTGCGACCACGGCATTACGAGGGGGCATCTGATGGTGTCTCCATTTCATAGGTGAGACAAGGCCCAGAGAAGCTCAACGACTTGCCCAAGGTCACACAGCCAGGGAGCAGTGGAGCCCATCAGACAATAGCACCCAGGGCCGCTGGCAATGTGCTCTTTTCTTTCAGAATCAGAAGAAAAAGATGACCTTTTAGCTGAAGAACCACTTTAATATAGGATATTAATGTTTGCCTTTTAAAAATCATAGATGCTCCCATTTTATTTATTTTTTTTCTATTTTATTTTATTTTGTTAGGCATTCTGTTTTTGGTTTTGCCATAGGCACATGCGCTCACTGGAGAGAGACCGAGAGAGAGAGAGACAGGGAGAAGTCATCCCCGAGCGGGGAATGGCCACACCACAATCCCTTCGTCTCCATTCTTCTCTCGGGATTTTGAGCCCACATGCATAAGTGCCTGGCATGAATTTTTCAAGCTGCCAGGCCCTGGACTTGAACTATGTGCGGTCCAGTGCCTTAACCTCCATGGCACTTGCCAACCCTATACTTTCTTATTTGCATTTCATTGTTGTACACCTTTATGGGGCACAACGTGGATTTTCAAAACATGCCTGCCAGGTGTGATCCTCAAATCAATATCATACCATGTTCGTCATTGTCAACAAATAGCACATTTGAGACTTTAGGTATGTACATATGTCTGTATGTATGCATATAGATGAGCAGTGCCTTTTTTCCCACTCAGTTGTGGCATGCCAACGTTTATCTTTATCCCAATATCGCTGTGAAATATAACTTTCAATACGTTTTTTTAGGGAGGAAAGGCCAAAGTGCTTAGAGCCCATGACAGTCACAGTGAGGCTCTGAAGGAGCCAGAATCCAAATCTGTCTGCCTTCCAAGTTCATGTTCTTCCTGGTCTAGTCTAACTCATTTACAAGTGAGGAAATCGAGGTGCAAGGTCACCCAGACACTGGTGGGGAGCCTCCTGGAGGATGTTTCTCCGGGCCAGCCACCATATTGCATGGTCAGACAGCACCACCTAGTGGCCCTTCAGGAAAATTTCCTGTAGTCAAAACGAGGGGGCATCTGATGGTGTCTCCATTTCATAGGTGAGACAAGGCCCAGAGAAGCTCAACGACTTGCCCAAGGTCACACAGCCAGGGAGCAGTGGAGCCCATCAGACAATAGCACCCAGGGCCGCTGGCAATGTGCTCTTTTCTTTCAGAATCAGAAGAAAAAGATGACCTTTTAGCTGAAGAACCACTTTAATATAGGATATTAATGTTTGCCTTTTAAAAATCATAGATGCTCCCATTTTATTATTTTTTTTTCTATTTTATTTTTTTTTAGGCATTCTGTTTTTGGTTTTGCCATAGGCACATGCGCTCACTGGAGAGAGACCGAGAGAGAGAGAGACATTTTATTTATTTTTTTTCTATTTTATTTTATTTTGTTAGGCATTCTGTTTTTGGTTTTGCCATAGGCACATGCGCTCACTGGAGAGAGACCGAGAGAGAGAGAGACAGGGAGAAGTCATCCCCGAGCGGGGAATGGCCACACCACAATCCCTTCGTCTCCATTCTTCTCTCGGGATTTTGAGCCCACATGCATAAGTGCCTGGCATGAATTTTTCAAGCTGCCAGGCCCTGGACTTGAACTATGTGCGGTCCAGTGCCTTAACCTCCATGGCACTTGCCAACCCTATACTTTCTTATTTGCATTTCATTGTTGTACACCTTTATGGGGCACAACGTGGATTTTCAAAACATGCCTGCCAGGTGTGATCCTCAAATCAATATCATACCATGTTCGTCATTGTCAACAAATAGCACATTTGAGACTTTAGGTATGTACATATGTCTGTATGTATGCATATAGATGAGCAGTGCCTTTTTTCCCACTCAGTTGTGGCATGCCAACGTTTATCTTTATCCCAATATCGCTGTGAAATATAACTTTCAATACGTTTTTTTAGGGAGGAAAGGCCAAAGTGCTTAGAGCCCATGACAGTCACAGTGAGGCTCTGAAGGAGCCAGAATCCAAATCTGTCTGCCTTCCAAGTTCATGTTCTTCCTGGTCTAGTCTAACTCATTTACAAGTGAGGAAATCGAGGTGCAAGGTCACCCAGACACTGGTGGGGAGCCTCCTGGAGGATGTTTCTCCGGGCCAGCCACCATATTGCATGGTCAGACAGCACCACCTAGTGGCCCTTCAGGAAAATTTCCTGTAGTCAAAAAAACGTAAACCTAGAAAGAGTAAGGGCACCGGTCCAGACGCTCCCAGGAAGCAGCCACAGGCCAGCCTGCACCTGGGCTCCGCACTCAGCAGTGGCAGAGCCAGCTCAGGGAGCCAACTCCACTCTCTAGGCCATTGTCGTAATTCACAAACGCACCCTGCACACACACACACACACACACACACACACACACTCAGCTTCCCAGAGTAACAGCAGCATCCCACAGACTGATTAACATGGGTAACGTGCTTGGAGCAGCTGTGTTCCATAGAAATGCAGTGTGAGTCAACAGGTCATCTGAATTTTTCTTTCCTTTTTTTCTCTCTTTTTTTTTGTTTGTTTATTCCTTCCATGAACAAGAGAGAATTACACTCACCAGGGTCCCAATGTCATGATCCACTCCCAGCGTCAGCCACCCTGGGCTCAGGGTCACACATGTGTTCGGCATTCTCAGGGAGGTCTCCAGATACCAGCACAGAACCTTCCCCCGTGGGTCAGCCCTGCGGAACAGCGTGTCCCACTGCAGCCTCACCAACCAGTCCCTATTTGCAATTTTCTAGTAGTCACACATTTAAAAAGTAAAAAGAACCAAGTGAAATTAACTTAGGAAAAATTATTTAATTTTATTTATTATTTTAAAATTTGCTATAGGGCACATGTGGCCACCAGAGAGAGAGAGACAGAGAGGGGGGAAAGTGAGAAAGCAAGCTACCAGGTCTGGGACTCAAACCAGGGTCTACCTTGTGAGAGTCTAGTGCCTTAACCACCATGCCACGTGCTGGCTCTGTGTGAAATTAATTTTAATGCATTTTATTTAGCCCAGGGATTAGCAAGCTACAGCAGCCTGTGGGTCAAATCTGGCTCACTGTTTGTTTAAATAAAGTTTTATTGGGACACAGTCACACTCATTTGCTTTTGTATTTCTTGTAGCCACTTTTTGGCTACAAGAAATACAAAATTCATTCTGGATTATTTTCTGAGTGAATTATAACAGATCATTTCTTTGCTATTTATGTGTTCTGAAACAAAGACAAAGATATAATGTTTTCTAATTAATTTTTTGAGAGTTTTTTGCTATAGGGCACGTGTGCTCGCCAGAATGACAGAAAGAGACAGAGAGACAGAAAGTGAGAAATCACCCCCCAGGGGGGATGGCCATGCCGCAATCCCTTCTTCTCCATTCTCCTCTTGGGATCTTGGGCACGCACGCACACGCGCCCGGCGTGAGTTTAAGCCACCGGGTTCGGGACTCAAACTGTGGTCGACTACATGGGAGTCCAGCGACACAGCCATTATGCTAACTGCTGGTCCCTCACCAGCCCTTCTTAACTGGCTTTCCAGAGAGATTTAAGCCCTAACATCCCAGTATAGCCGCTTTTGTAAAGAATCATCGTCTTCCCATGCACCTGAATGCTGCTAGCTGCATAGTGAAGTGTCAGGCTAAGAGGCAGGACCAGTAGAGCCCTAGAAAATTCTCTAGGTGGCCCTTTAGAGAGCTGTTAGCTTGCCCAGTTCCTTCTCTGTCCAGTGTGAGAAACTGCCTTTCTGGTCAGTGGGGATGGAGGAGCACCGCCGCCCTGATCGACAGCACGTGCCCCTTTGCATCTCGGCTCTGCAGAGGGCTATGGGAAGACGTGATGTGGACTCTGCATGCCCGAGGCCTTCTAAGCAATGAGCTGCATGTCCACCAACAGTGACGGCCCTCCAGGATGAGCATTTAGCGTGTCTGTGACTCTGTGAGAAAACCCTTTTCAAGGAAAGGAGGAAGGCCCATCAAGATGGTGGGGCCAGAAGATGGCATAATGGTTGTGTTGCTGGACTCCCATGTGGCCAACTGTAGTTCGAGTCCCGAACCCAGCACCTTAAGCCTCACGCCAGGCATGTGTGCGTGGCTGCCCAAAATCCTAAGAAGAGAATGGAGATGGGGTTGCAGTGTGGCCATTCCCTCTGGAGGGTGATTTCTTGTGTCCTGTCTGTTTCTGTCTCTCTGGTGAGTGTATACACCCTATAGGAAAAATCTCTCTAAAAAAGAAAAAAAGAGATGGTCCCAGTTACCAAGAAGTTTAGCTAGAAGAAAGGTGTTATGGGTTACATTGTGCCCTTCCCCCATAAGATATGTTGACAGCCTAACTGCTAGTACCTCAGATGTGACCTTATTTGGAAACAGAGTCCTTGCAGACCTAATTAATCAAGATGAGATAAGGTCGTGCTGGAGTAGGGTGGGCCTCTGATCTGACATGACCGAGTCCTCAATGACAGCCGTGTGGAAAGAGACACGGTGAAGGCAGAGGATGGAGGATGCAGCTGTGAGCCAAGAAAAAAAACCCAGCAAATCCCCAGACACTGGAAAGAGGCCAGGCAGGAGCCCCAGAGGGAGCATGGCCCAACTGCGTCCTGGATTTGGGACGTCTAATTTCCAGAACTGTGAGATAATGGGTCTCTGTGGTCTGAGCCAGCCCGCTGGGGTTCTCTGTGAGGGCAGCTCTAGGAAGTTATTAGCAGAGGGGACTTCGAGTTTAGGATGGCGGCTGTCCTCAGACCACCCCCAGGGCAGCCGCAGAACGAATCAAGCACAGTGGCCGAGATGGGCTCGATGTCTGGGGACCCTTTCTCCTCTTCTTCCTGGATACAGGTGACAAAACCCGGACTTCTATACCCAGAAGTCATGTGACTTGTCCTCATCACAGAATGTGAGAGGAAGTGACATTTGTCAGCTCCAGGCTCAGGCTAACACGGTTGTTCTCTCCATCTGTTTCTTTTCCTCTGGCCCCCAGCTAGATAGAGGCCTCGGGGGGAAAACTCTGAGGCCCTAGGGGTAGGCAGAGCCACCAGAAGGGAGAAGCCTGGGTCCCCGGATCAGTGGGAGGTCACCCACTGGACACCAGATTGGGCTGTGATGTACAAAATAAAAAGACAACTTTATTGGATCATGCAACTGGGATTTAGGGGCTGTTTGTTACAGCAGCGAGGCAACCCTGACTAATACATCATCTTGGGGCTAAGAGAAATAGTAATAAAAATGGTCGCTATTTCTTTCCCATATTGAGACCAGGCAACTCTGCCATGGATCCCTTCAGTATGTACAGACATAAAAAACAGGAACATACCCTCACCCGATCCCCTTAGCACCCTAAGGACTCAGCGATCCCCTCCTGTGTCCCAGGCCTGCTGACAGTGCACCTGGAGACTCATCATTTCTCCCGAGAAAGGAGGAGCCATGCCCACACCTTGCTGGTGGCAGCAGGGGTGGGGCAGCCCTGCCAAGAGCTGAGGTCCCTGCCAAGCCAACCTGAGAACCAGCAGGTGGGCCCCCGATCTATGTGACAGTCACTCTCAGCAAGGGAGGCAGGGCTCGGCAGGACATGGGGCGTGTGTCTGGCTGGCAGCGTCTCCCCATGGAGGGTCCACATGGACCTGGGCAAAGGAAAGGGGCAGCCAAGGACCCTCCCCGGCTGAGGTCACATGAGCTGGTCTGTTCTCCGCGGAAAATGGAAGATGCCGCTTTCCATGTAAAACACCTTCGTGATGGGCTGGATCTTGGCGTAAGTTGGAGGCTTGGGGTCCCTCATGGCATCCCCTGGAACACAGCACAGGCCTGGGTGGGCAGGAGGCCTCACCTGCCTGTGGGACAGCACCCCAGAGACCCGAGGGCAGCAGGGACACCCTGCTACAAGGGCTCCGGCTGTTGAAATAGTGGGATACCGCTGTGCTGGTGAGGGACAGTGCTGCCTCTCCTGCCCCGATCCCTCCCCTGAGACCCCCACACATTCCCATGATCCGACCCCTCAAGGGTCATGCCTGGCAGAGCACAGGAGACTCGAGCCCTGCTTTGGCACTGTGGCCAGGACTGGTGCTTCGTATGTGAGAGAGGGTGTTTGGAGCTGGCCAGGTGAGGCCGGGCAGTGCCTTCACCCCGTTCCCTGGACCTTCCTGCACCGGCTGGGGTGGGGCGGGCCCTGTCTGTGACTGTGCTGGGGTGGGCAATGAGGTCAGCAGGCCTGTCCTCATCCCCATGTGACCCCTGAACAAGGTTTGGGTTAGGAGTGCAAGGCCAGACGCTTGCAGAATATTCCAGAGACTCTGGGAGCAACAGTGGGTAAGGTCACCGGATCATTCCAGAGGGAGGCACCCTCCCTGTCTCTGCCCAGAACCCAGCACTGCCCAGAACCCAGTGAGTGGCAGGATCCGCCCCTCAGCACAGGTCTGGGCACTCTAGACATTGGGGTGCCAGGTCAAATACAGGGTGCCCAGGTACAATGGAATTTCTAACAAACAATGCATCATTTTGCAGTGTATGTGTCATGGCATATTTGGGACATACTTAAATTAAAAAATCATTCACTGTCTGAAATTCAAAGGTAACGAGGCCTCTGTTAGATCCGGGCACCCTATGACGGCACGAGCTTCATAGGCCATGCACACCGGCCCAGGGACTGGAGCAGGAGACGGGGACCATTCCGTGCAGTGCCTGAATGGAGACGCACTCTGTGGGTGCAAGGAGTCAGCCCTGCTTAGAAGACCCCTGCGGAGCAGAATATCCACAAGGGACTGGTTCCAGGACTTCCACGGGTTCCAAACCCCGTGGACATTCAAGCACTTTATAGGAAATGGCAAAGAGAGCCGCGCGTACCCTACGCAATCCTCTCATATGTGAGGTGGTCGGGAAAGTCATGGCATATTTTCCTCTGCTAAAATACGTCATTCGAAATTTTAAATATGACTCAATACTTTTAATCGCCTCCAGATCCTGTATGACACCCCCTGCGATGTAGTGTTACGCAGGTGGGGTCTCACTGGATCGCTCAAATGATGACCAGGAAAAAGGTCTGCATAAGATCGTTTCAGACGTGACCATCATAGGCCCAGCCACGCAGCCAGCAATGACGGAATATTTTCTATCTACTTCTGGTTGGATCTGTGCTTACAGAATCTGTGCATTTAAAGGGATTCTGCTGAAATGTTTGCTCCTCCACCAGACTCCCTGACCACCCCGTCTACCAGCACAGCCCCCAGCTCTGTCCCCTTCTCCTGATTTAGCTTCTCTTTGAAGGCTGGACCTCAGAGCAAGGCCCGCAGACCAACAGTACCGGCGTCACCCGGGAGTTAGTTAAGGGCACAATGTCCACTTTGCCGCCAGCGCCACCTGCTGGATCATGGCAGGCATTGCAGCAAGACCCCCGCTGACTCCTGCGCACAGGGAAGGTTGGAAAGGGCTGCCCTGGGGACCGGCCGCTTCCTGCCAGTATGGGTGTCCACCTGCTCCTGGCCTGTCCTTGTGCAGGCGGGCACCACGTCTGCCTTGTTCTCTGCAGTAGCCTCCCCCAGAGGCAAACAGCGCCCACACACATTTGTTGACTGACTGACTGAAGGAACAGGCCGGGATTCAGACTCAGGCCTTCTGTTTTCAAACTGAGCCAACTCCTGTGTGTGCTCACTAACTCATTTCAGGGTGGCACTGAAACTCCAGATCGCTCTCTGGGTTGTCCTGAAACGGTCACGCGTCGATCTCCCCTCAGAGGGGTTGGATGAGGTTCGTTCCTGTTCCAGGTATTTTCCACCTGATTCCCCCAAAGCTCTCCCATACAGGAGAGCAGAGCCAGGGGAGTCCCATTTCCAGGTGTGAAACAGGCCCAGAGAAGGAAGGTGCTTGCCTGAGGTCACGCAGCTCTGCAAGGGTAGAAGCAGGGTTTGAATTCCCACCTCCTAATTCCAGGTCAAGTTGTCGGTTCCTAGTTCATATGCATTCATTCATTCATTTGTTCATCGGTTCCACCATCGTGGGACACAGCCCTGTGCTGTCGGGGGGCGGGGGGGCCGGCATTGAGAAAGGCAACTAAGAAGTCTTACAACTCAAAGGGCTCCCCAGGCCAGAGGGATACACAGGGAATGGCGACGCAGAGGCTCAGCGCTTTTACAGATTCCCGAGCTGCAGAAGCCCTAGGCAGCCTCAACTACTCTGCCTGGAGGACTCCGGAAGCCTTCCTGAAGGAGGTGACAGGGGAAATGTGGCTGGGCAGAGGGCAGGGTGGGGGAGCATGCTGAGTGGAAAGGCCTGCAGCTGTGAAGGTACCTGCCCTGCCGGGGGTCATGGGCCCATGTTATGTGCCAGGAGTGTGTGCGTGGGGGGAGGGGGGTGAAGGACGAGGCGGAGGAGGGAGGCCAGGGCTTGTCTGCCAAAGGCCTGCAACGGCAAGATGGTGGTGGCCTTACCCACATGCCAGCCGTACTCCCAGGATGACAGCACGGGATACTGGAACTTCTCCTCCGGCTTCTGTCGATGCCGCTCCCGGAGGTACTGGGTGCGGCCCTGGCCCTCGTGGGAGAGACCTTGGAAGAGCAGTTGCAGGGTGCTTGGGGGGACCGGCCGCATCGCTAAGCCCGGTGGCCTGGTCTGGCCTGCCGGCCTCTGAGCTGCTCTTCTGGCCTCCCAGACTCTGTCTCCCTTAGCTGGGGAACCCTGGACACCCACTCCCCTGGACGGCTGGTTCAGGACCCTCTTGGTCTCTGGCTGTCCGATTTGTACCTCCTTGTCAGGGGAGCAGGTGCCCTGCATGGGCCCAGCCACAGAGGCCGGCCCGCAGGGGGCCCGGGGGGGGCGCCTTCACCGTACGGG